CGCGTTGATCCCGAAGAAAACGGATCTTTGTCGCGATGAACGCGGGGGCACGCAGTTCGGTAGGCTGCGTCGAGTGGTCGAAAGAAAACCTGACACCGGGGCGGCAGCTCGCCGGATAATTTCACCCGCGGCCTCCTCGACGATGATACCTCTCCTATCGATCATCCGCTGGTTCCTCGAAAACCCTGAGAAACCACCGACGCGTCTGGAGATTCTCTTTCACTCTCTCGAGACTGCGTCGTTTGCCTCTGGATCCGTCTATCTTCTATTTTTTTTCGATCTGATCGAGTCGCTAATCCCGCTGAGACTTGTCCGATCTCTCGTCGATCTCGTTCGAGCCTGTTTCTCTGAATCTTCGTTCAGATTGACGGAAATAGCTTATTCACAAGCTTAGAAATTGGTCCTGTACCGGCACTAAAAGGGGGCAACAATCTCGCTACGTGTAAACGATCGAATTGAAATTGAAAACGCGACGATGGAGAATGGGAGAACGGAAAGAACCGAGTGCATATGAGAAAAAAAAAAAAAAAGACAGAAGAGAGAAGAAGGAAAGAGAGAGAGAGAGAGAGAGAGAAAAATGGGCGAAGCGAGAGAACGCCAGAAGGAGATGTGAAAAGGGTGAAGGAGGAACAATGACTCCGGTTCGTTCGCGCGTCTCGGTTACCAGCCGACCTGCGTATATACCCCTTGGCTTAGCGCGTAACGCGACACCGAAGGACGCGGAGGAACCGGGAGAAAGAGGCGCGTTCGTCGGATCTGGAAATGCTGGAATTCTGGACCACCCCGTGGCGAGACGATCCACCGGTCATAATACCGGCGAAATTTTCGAGCCTAGCTTTTGCCACTGTTGCGTCGCGCGGTCGGCCGTCGAGAGGGTTTCTCTCACCTCTCACGAAACAGGGAGCGAGACACGGAAGAAGGAAGAAGGAAAGGAGGGACGAGACGAAGGAAGGAAAGAGGAAGAAGGGACGAAACGAGTCCCGAGCTCAAAAAAAGGCGAAGGATTAGGGGGAGGGGACCCGGGGCTAATCGCCGTCCGCTCGAACGTGCCGGACCACACACGGCCGCGCAACGACGTCCACGGCCATTCCTCTTCTCGTTCCTTTGAAATATCGCTGTCAAACGGCCGAACTCTATTAGTCGTCACGTACGACTCGACTCGGCGCGGGCCGCGGCTCTCGCGAGCGTTTTCAGCCTCTCGACGCCGAAGGCGAGAACCGGCGAAGCGAAACGACGGAGGACGTCGAAAAAAATGTGGTACTGGCGCGCCACCTAGTTTTCTTCTCGCTAGAGAGCTTATTCTAGGGGCGAAAGGAAGAGAAAAATGTTACAATGAACAGGAGATATAAACAAATAATGATAAATAGTTATTCACTATTTTTAAAGTCTCGTTTCAAAATGATGTCCCTCTGCTTGGATACGCAAGCTTTGACATCGATGAAAAACTGAATTTATCTTGTTGCATTTCAATAGCTGCATTTTTAATACGCTGCACAGGATCTTCACGTGAAGTCACTTTGGTCGAGAAAAGCTTTTGTTTAAAGCATAGGTAAAAGTCGAGCGGTGTAAGAAAAGGAATGACTGAAATACTTAGTATCTATTTTTGATTGTATCTCTGTAATAAAGCGTTAATTCACATAACACATTTCCTTCTTCTTTTGGTTCGTAGAATAAGCTCCCGCAGTTTGGCGGGGAAAACTCGGGACACCGTGTATATTCGTGAAAGCAAATGATACATTAACGAAATCTGTTTCCCCGCTCTGTATTTTCTTTGTATTATTCGTAAAGTAGATTTAACAATCGGTAATTCTTGAAATATTGGGCGTGGATGTGTACAGTACATTGAATGTTATTACCGAGACGCAATTTCCCAGAAAGATACGAAACGGAAATGTAAATATCGTCAGCGAGGCGAACAAGTACGGGCAAGTCGAATATTTACGCTCGTCAGTTGTACAGAAGCTATCGAAAGCGTAACATTCGTGCGATATATAGTCAGTTAAGTGCGCGTTAAACAGTGATAATAAATTTTTGACGATACGTTTCGCGAAAGCAAATGATACGTTAACGAAATCTGTTCCCGTAAATACATACTCCGGGATGAAAAGATAACATACTCTGTATTCTTTTTATATTGTGCATGAGAATACGTGGATTATTACATCAGTATATTCTTGGAATATTGGGCGTGGATGTATGTGTGATATGTTGATTCGCGAGACGATACAAATGTGAAATTCTCAGAATGATGCAAACGGAAATGTGCGATCGCGAGGCGAATATTTGCGATCGTCATAACGTATTCACGCTTCAGTCGTGCAATAGTTATCGAAAGCTGTCGAATTCGCGCAAAATACAGCCAGTTAACTGCCCATTAAATAGTGATAATAAATTTGTAAAAATGGATCGCGGATAAAACTGAGATCTGATATTGAAACGCGATATCGAAATTAAACGAGGAATTATTATTCTGTGACAAAAATAGCCAGAACGGTTAATAGAAGTGGCAAAGTGATCATGAATTTACTAAAAAGTTACGATAATCACGGAAGAAGAAAAAGATAGACAACCGCAGTGTTTGACAGTTCCGGATAAACGTGCTGTAAATATGTAGCATCAAATTCAAGCTCGACTGCGAGATAAATTGCAGAGAAAATCTGGTGTTACGACAAGCGTCGACGTCTTTTAAAGAATCGTCAACATCTGAAACGACGAAAGCCTTAATTAAAGCAAGAGGAGCAGCAACTTTTGAGTCGTCGAACCATGGGAGGCGGCGGTTATAATGAGGTGGTACTGATTACTACGGTAAGAAATGGAAATAAAATTTATTGAAACGATCGACGAACAAATTGACACGTGTGCGAGACGAATTGCCGGGCATAAGTGCATTTTTCAACGTGATAACACGGCCGTGCACACCGTGAAAGCAATGAAACTATCATAGAAAATTGGGGGGAATCATATTACACGACGATCAGTAATTTTATATTATCGAAATATACGTTACATCGATTCCTCCCTAATTTCTTTAAAGTCTCAATCCTCGAAAGTTTCGCAAAATGAAAGAAAAAGAAGAAACAACTGGGCACCGGATCGACTAAAGCCGAAACGTCGTCGTTCTGTTGTCCGCGAGGGTCACAATGAAGTCTTAATCACCGTCGATAGTCTCGGCGATAATCGTATGGTGTTTACGTACCACTCCCGCGCGCGCACGCGTAATCACGAAAGTAGGAAATGACGATGCAACGTGTGCACGACTTCGCAATGATACCGACCATTAATTACCGGCGAATATCACGCAAACGCCAAGCGAAGGAGACGCCAGCCGTTTTTGATCCGCGGCCAGCCAATAATTCGCTCGTTAGCGTCCTGCCAATATCGACGACCGATCGTTCCGAGCGTTACAATCGGCCGTAATTAACCCTAATTAAGCTCTCGTCTAATGCACGAAATCATCCATCACTTCTCTCCGCGTACCGCCGCGCGGACGTCAATGAGAAAACGTCGTCTTAATTATCCGGCGGGACGCTGGATCTTCTCGCTCTTCCATCCGCTTATCTCGTTTTCGTTTCTCTCTTTATCCGCGTGAAATCTCATCGATTCATTCACCTCTAAATGCCGCTTAATGCCGATAACGTCGATCGGTTAATCACGCGAACGCGGCGCCTCCTCGTTTCGTCTCCTCTTCTATCCCCTTTTCCCTTCTCGTTCGTTCGATCGAACTGCGGTCTCTTGCGTTTCCATCGCGAAAACTTCTCCACCAATGGCAAAATCCTAGCTTTAGCGAATACGAGAGAGAGAGAGATTTCGAAATTTCCTAGAATTCTTTATGATTCTTCGATTTATCTCCGTTGAAACTACTGATCCTTTCTTCTCTACGTTTTTTACTCAACTCGTTTCTATTTCTTTAAATATTCGTTTGGAGACAGTGTGATACTGAGAACATGATTTTGTAGAAGTGGAAAATTTAAGAGTAAGACAACGGATAATCGAGATCTCAATCAATGATTCAACTAGTACTACTACTGGTCTTTTCTTCTCTACGTTTTTTACTCAACTCGTTTCTATTTCTTTAAATATTCGTTTGGAGACAGTGTGATACTGAGAACATGATTTTGTAGAAATGGAAAGCTTAACAGTAAGACAACGGATAATCGAGATCTCAATTAATGATTCAACTAACACGCGAGATTTATACAGTTCGCTGATGGAATATTTAAAGGGCAATGAAAGCGCATTTTTTTACTTCGTAGCATTATTCTTTGTATTTGAAATAATTTTGTCGATGATGTTCAATCTCGTTTTAATTCTAAGACGAATTATAAGGATAAAGACGTCGGTCATCAGTTTCCACAGTCAACATGTCGATCATAATAATCCTGGGTCGATTAACCCATTAAGAATTAAAAATTCAATTCATTTGCAATTTTTTCCAATTAATCACATTGTGAATTTCTATTTTTAATATTGGAAGATTACGAAAAGAAACTCCAAGGCTTTTAATATTTCTCCATCGTTGTGTCTTCGTCTGGATTCTGTAATCCTATGACATTGAAAGATACGGAGGCCAGAAAGAAAAAAAAAAAAGATGACACGAGAATTGTAAAACGAAATTACATTCAATAAGAACAATTAATGTTATCAAGAATGTTATACTGCTGTGTTAATTCAAACAGGCGTATCCAAAAGACGGTTTCACAAACGACTTTGGAAAAAAGATTTTCAACATGTAGCAATCGATTTCACATACCTACGTCCGAAGTATAAACTACCATACACTATCAGTTCCAATGAACGATTTTTGTAAAACTCAGTCTTTAATGACTTAAGTGAAAGTTGAACGCCAGTATAATTTTTACACATCCACGTCATACACACGGGCAATTTTAAAACGTTACTCGCAACACTATCATTCCGTTTGTAATAGAATATTTAATTCTTAATCGAGGCCACCATTGCATCTCTACTAATTTCCTCCATGTAATTTCCTCTGTTTCCAGAGATCCAATGGAACTAATGGAACAACAGCTGGTGAGATGCGGCGTGGCGCCAGTCAGATTGTACGAACACCTCGCGATGTCGTCCCCGGCCGCGGCAGCGGCAGCAGCGGCTGCCGCGGCGGCCGCTGCTGCCCTCGGTGCTCAACAGCATCATCCGCAGTCCCAACAGCAGCAACAGCAGCAGCAACAGCAGCAACAGCAACAGCAACAACAGTCCCAACACGAAAGTTCGGCGCACGCGTTGCCACCGTGGATCGCGCCATCCACGGCGCTCCTCTATGGTCAATCGCATTCTGGAACGAGATCAGCCGCTGGTGCAACGTCCCCGTATCCAACCGCGGCAGCCACCGCGCCTTTTCCTTATCCTGCGGCTCTGCCATGGCCCTGGCAACCACCACCTCCCGTCGCCATGATCTCGCGAAGATCTTCGCCTCCCACTGCAACGGCAGCCGCCTCCCTCAGGTACACTCCTTACCCTCCACCAGCGAGCACACCGCCGCCCCTAAGGGCTCGTCCATCCACCCCCAATTAGCGATCCACCTAATCGGACGCTTGCCCTTAACGCTTGACTGGGTGTCACAGGAACGTGTAACTTTGAGTTTGATCGAACCAATTTCGATTAATCAGTCTGTAGACCGCGGATTTTTATGGGGGTTTTTTTTTTTGTATAGTTTTGCAAGTACAGTTAAGCCCCGTTTAGAAAAGGGGGTTTGTACTGGATTCTTGAACACGGTCTCTGACGAGATTTGTTGTTAAGCGTCGGACGTATTAAATGAAATCACATGGTTCGAAGAATATTTGGTTTGCCTGCTATGTATAAATGTTGTATAGTGGATAATCTGTTTCGGATGTTTTGTTTAATTTTTTTGTATAGAAATCTGCCGTCTACTAATCTCTATCAGAGGGGAAAAAAAGAATAGAATACAGTATGAAATTAAATACCTTTTTTATGTAATACGATACAAATTAGTCATCTGTGACCCCACGATATCGATTTAAGGATCAACGATATCGACGCGTTTACTCTTTATACTTGTTCTATCTGGATCGTGTCGAAATGATTTAGGTAGTGAACGAAAGGTGTGTGGTAGACGCGGTACAGCCAAAGAAGAAATCCTCGAGCCAAGGTTTTTCGTGTTAATTGACGGATATATTCGTCGAAGGAACCGCCCCTCCGTTACGAGACCTAACGATTCGCGTAGACGCGATTTCATGGGTGATCGTAGAGGGAGGATTTGGTCGATATGTACAGAATACGAGCGTCACGAAGTTCGGTTTTTCTCCGACCAAGGTGAGGAGGCACTCCGAAATCGTTGAAGCTTCGTCCAGTGTGTTATTTAAGTACGCGAATATGGTGAAGCGGTAAAGAACGAGCGGTAAAAGTTGGATCGGTGTATTAAAAAGAGTATTATTTACAGCAGAATTAGGGATAACAAATCATTTTCTGTTACTTTCATTTGAAAAACTCACTTAGGAAGGGTGTGACTTTATCTTACAAATGAAGAAATCGGACAAGTCATTTAAGCAAATAATCATTTTTAGTTGACTCGAGTTAATTCGTTTAAATGACAAATAATTTCAGCAAAAGGTGAATCTCGCACCGACAGAATCAGGTTTGAGTAATTATTTAATTGTTTACGGTAACAAATGTAAAATACGAAACGAAAGAAAAAAATTATTTGTTTTATTATATATATTTTATTATATATAAATGTATATTTTACACACTATTGTATATATTATTTTTATTAATATATATTATATTTATTATTTTATTTTATTAATTTAAATAAGAGACTGTCTCTTGACGATCTTATCGTTATCTTAATTGACTATTAAATTCGTTGAAATGAAGCGCGAGATGAAGTACGCATCCAGAACCAGAAACAATTTAAGAAATTATTTCTACAAGTATGATGAAATGTTAGTTTAGATTTGTTAGCCAAGATTATCATCGCGACAACATCGAGTCGGACAAACTGTTGAAAACAATCATTCCCCAGACATTTTCTCTCGCTGCTCACCGTTTCACTTTATTCGTTACCCTAAGTTAGTTTTAGAAAAATGGTTCGTACTCGTTTGCTCTCTGTGTGCGCGTAATATAACCGTAGACTCTCCGGTCTTTAAATTTCGGGAAGCAAGAGGATTTCCATTGACTTGGCAGTCAGGTAGAGTGTCTACTCTATTCCTCTTTCTTCCTTTCTGATTATTCCAATATCAGACTTGTAAATAAGCGAGAGAGCCGATTATGCCGAGTCAGGAACGGGGAGGGAAGGAAGAAACGAACGGCGAAGGAATAAAGACTCGGTTGTAGCTGTAATATATACCACGATAGTATTAACGCGTGTTTCCTCGAGACATAAGAATCGGTCTTTGTACATAAGAATCTTTTATGGTAGCGAGTAGCGTAAACGGCGTATTCACGATGTAGCACGGATAGAAATAAACAAATTTTCATTAATACACCCTACTCTTCTACTTTCTCGTAGCCAGAGACGTATGGTGTCGCGTTGATTTCCTTTTGAAACAACGTGACGGCCGATATACGTACATACGTCACCGCAAGACGAAAGGAACATACACGGTTTCTTGTTGGTTTAGTACGAGACTCGTTCTGCAATGAAGATCATTATCGTTCTCAATTAAGAGCACATTTATCAAAATCGTAATACGTGTTTTAAAAGTAACATACTGTATTTGCAATCTACTTAGAAAGTACAGGAGGAAAGATATTCGGTTCCCTCGTGGTAAAATGAAAAGTGCAACGGATAGGGAAATGAGTTCCCAATACGAGGCTTGGTTTACTAGTTTCTTTAACCAAATGTTTTTCTTGAGCGTATAAAATCCGTCTTCTGATCTTTGTCCCATTATTTTCATCTTTCTTATAATATATTGCACCAGGTTCGCAATGAGAATTTTTAACACGCAACTTCGAGGCTAAATCTTCATTATTTAAGCGTGTCTTCGTTGTTTATACTCAATGTTATGCAACATATTAGACGTATGTGTATGTTACATACCTCGTAGCATGTGTTATACAACGATATTTACGAACGTCGTCGTACACCTACCGTTTCGACGTCATTCACAATTTAATCGAACCACTTCTTTTTCCCCTTTGTCCTTCGCGAGTATAATGAACATCGATTTCATTTCAAAACGAATCTTGCGCATCTCAGCGATATATTTACCAGCGAGTTTCGTTAGTTTTCGTTATAGAGATAATGTTGAGGAGTGGTCTCGTATTAAACAACTTTAGCCTGCAAAACGAATCGCGAGCGTGGGTCGGAGGAAAGTCGTCCGGAACTGAATCCTCGGAAAAGGGGGGCTGTTTCCCGAGGCGCGTTGCTCATCGAGTGGCTCGTCACGCCAGCCAGGCTTCATCGCACCTTTAACTGCCGTGTAATACCTATCTGAAATTAAATAAATTCATTTCACGGCCTGTCAACGAGCAATTATTTTTAGATGCAGCCACTTTAAGGCCGATTCGTTCCGTGACTAACACCTCCGCGACTCACGGCCACGACTCGGCCACGAACGAACCCAGAAGCACGCCTCGAGACTCGCGTGTTCCTTTGCCGCGATCGTGTCCCACTCGCAAATAACCATCGTCTAGCTCCGGCGTAATTTACGTACCACGAGGAGCCTACAACCGTTACGTTTCGGAAACCGTGCATGTGTGGAGGGGTATAAAATAAATCTCGTGTCTTTAAATATCGGTCGTTTGATCATCAATGCCGCAGCCGGCATACGATTTCTCGGACGTTGGCTTTTGAACATTTTAGGTAATTTAATAGGTAACGTAAATAGGGAACGTTTCTGGCAAATTTTTCTTTACGGATTTGCGTTTGTTACGCGTGTTTCACGTGTGCATATTTGTGAGAAAAATTCGCAGAGTATGAGTAAACGTGATGTGAAACGAGTCCCGTTGCGTCGGTCGATTTATTTATTTATTTATTTATTTTTTTCACTTATTCATCAGAGATTTACTAGCAAATGTCTCGTGTTACAGACAGCTGCGAAATATATCTACACGATAAGTGTGCGACGTTGGAAGGCAATGAGAATCAGGAAATAATTCAAAACCGAAAGCAGTACAAAGCAGTACGTAATTTCAGTATTATCGGACGTCTACATTTGAAAGATCAGAGTAATCCGATTCGCAGTTTGATCGTCGAGTCGAGGAAGCCAAGCTCATCATTAAAAATTTCCGTTTTAATTTCCGCTACAATAAAACTTGTAAGCTACCCTTGCTGTTATTAAAAAGGAACTCTCTGCAGGTAAGAGGGTTAACTTAACGAACAAACGCCGTCAGAATGGTAAAAGCGGCGACCGGTGTACGTGGCAAAGGTAGCGCGTTCCTCGTGGGAAAAGCCGATCTCGGCTTGTTCCGCATAATCGACGGAACATCCGGCGAGTGTGCAGCGGCGTATCGCGCGGAATCATCGGACGACACGAAGTGTATCGTGTATCGGAGCCGCGCGCCGTGCCACAATCGAACAGCTCGGCGGCGGCGGCGGCGGCGGCGGCGGCGGCGGCGGCGGCGGCGGTGGTGCTCGAGCGCGCTGCAAGATAAGAGAGAAGGGAAAAAAGAAGAAAAAGGAAGGTTTCACCGGGGCGCGAAAGCGATCGTGTGTTGCGTCGTGATGGGTGGAGCGAGGTGAAAGAAACAGAGAGGCGGCTCCCAAGCTTGTAATTATGTTGATACGAATGATCTGCGGCGAGCCGCAAACCGACCAGGAGACGAGGGACGAAGAGAAGCGCGAAGGAAGAAACGGAGGAGAGAGAAGATGCGGAGAGAGCAGCACAGGGTGGCGGAGAGCACGAATGGAACGGGGGGTGGAGGAGAAGAAGGAAGAGAACGTTGAGAATGGGGGAAGGGAGATGAAGCCTCTAGCGGTGTTCACTCTTCTGCTAGTCTCTCTCTCTCTCTCTCTCTCTCTCTTTTTCTCTCTACGTGGACGTTTATCCATGTTGCTCCTCTCCAAGAAGGAACTCTGGATCGTGTGGACCTCGTTCTTTCAGCCAGACGGTTGCCTGCCTGTATATACACCGACCATACGCGTTGCTCATCCCCACGCAACGAGTAAACGGCCTTTAGGACCGTGGCGAAACCAGTTTAAGTAGTTAAGCGTAGATGTAATTGATTTCCATTTTACGAGGCTCTCGGGGAAGATGCTCCACCCGCCACTGCCATCACCACCACCACCACCACCACCACCACCACCAATACCACTTTCGACTAACGCTGCCACCGCTATTGCCGCCGCCGCCGTCATAACCACCCCCACTCGCGCAGCCGTGAACCGAGTTTGGTTCTTCCACGTTGGAACATATATCGACGCGCGTTAAGGATTTCCTATGTCAAGTGTCAGATGCATTTAGTGTGAAGTAACAAATATCGTCACGAGTGACCGAGAGATGTGCAAGAAGAAGATTAAATGATCGCAACAGTAATCCGAAATTAGAAGAGAAGGAAGAATTTAATTCTTGGAATTGATCAGCGAGATTCAAGAAGAAATCCAAGTGATTTAAGTGAACTGAGATAATTTGATGTAACTATCTGTCCCTTAATGTGTTGTTCGTTTAAAAGAATACTTCTTTTTACGTTTGCAAGTTCTTCCGCGCAAGGGTGGGCCAGTTTTCTCTGGTATTAACTTCTTACCCCCTGTTAACTCAGTTTACCGACTACATACATTTAACGACTTTCGTTTTTGTATCTATGCATCCCCCTGTGTATCAAAGAAACTAAAGTCCCGAACTTTAATCGTAATTTGCGAGGTAGCCGCAGTAGCTAGGTCATAACCACCTCCACTCGCGCAGCCGTGAACCGAGTTTGGTTCTTCCACGTTGGAACATATATCAACGCGCGTTAAGGATTTTCTATGTCAAGTGTCAGATGCATTTAATGTAAAATAACACTATCGTCACGAGTGACTGAGAGATGTGCAAGAAGAATAATCACAGTAATCCGAAATTAGAAAAGAAGGAAGAATTTGAGTCTTGGAATTGATCGCTAGAGTCTAGAAGATATCCAAGTGATTTAAGTGAACTGAGATAATTTGATGTAACTATCTGTCTTGAATGAATACTCCTTTTTACGTTTGCAAGTTCCTCCGCGCAAATTCATGCGCAAGGGTGGCGGTCAGTTCTCCTTGGTATTAACTTCTTACCCCCTGTTAACTCAGTTTACCGATTACATACATTTAACGACTTTCGTTTTTGTATCTATGCATCCCCCTGTGTATCAAAGAATCTAAATCCCCGACTTTTAATCGTAATTTGCAAGATAGCCGCAGTAGCTAGGTCATAACCACCCCTACTCGCGCAGCCGTGAACCGAGTTTGGTTCTGCCACGTTCTTATCCTTGGAACATACATCGACGCGCGTTAAGAATTTTCTACGTCAAGTGTGTCAGATGGATTTGGTGTGAAATAACAAATATCGTCTATAGAGATAATTCACGAGTGACCGAGAGATGTGCAAGAAGAAGATTGAATAATCACAGTAATCCGAAATTAGAAAAGAAGGAAGAATTTGATTCTTGGAATTGATCGCTAGAGTCTAGAAGATATCCAAGTGATTTAAGTGAACTGAGATAATTTGATGTAACTATCTGTCTTGAATGAATACTCCTTTTTACGTTTGCAAGTTCTTCCGCGCAAAT